CCCCGTCGCGAGACCACGCGCGCTCGGAGGCCACCCGAAGCAGCTGCTGGCGAGCTGACTCGGCCCGGCCCTGGCCGACGGATCGGGACCTGTTTGGCCCCCGCCAAGGCCGCCGAGGTCGAGCCGCCAGCCACGAGCCTGCGCCCGCGCCACGTGCAGGGCGTGCCGCACCAGGCTGGCCCGAGCCAAAGGGCCTCGAGGCCTGCCGCCTTGCGGCGTGGCTCTTCGTTGCGTCCCGGTGGCCCTCTGGCTGCGCTTGTATTGCCCGTGATTGGCCGCGCCCCGCCCCCTGGCCACGTCACGATTCGCGCTGGCGCCGTCCAGGAAACAGCTATTCCTGAGCGTTGCAAGACGGCGCCAGTGCGGCTCGTGACGTAACTGGCCCGCTTCCCCCGAACCCACCCCCCCTGGGTCTCGCACGTTATGGCCAGGATGTAAAAGACACTTCCCTGGCTGGCCCGACAAATTGCAGCAATTCGGTGCATGCTCCGTCAGAATCTGCGTGGCCCCTGGCGTTGTCCGACCTGGCCCTAGTCTTGGCCAGATTGGGAATACGTTTGGGACCGGATCGAGCCCAGATTCGCCCCTTTGCTAAGGAAACGAGAAGAACAAGGAGGGGAGGAGGAACAGGGTCAGGAGGAGCAAGGGAAAGGTCCTAATGCGGCCCTAATGCGTTCCATGTGCAGGCAAATCTGATTTCAATCTCACGGCCTAAGGCTCACATGAACTGACATCGAACGCAAACGGCGCCGTCTCCCTAAGGGATGACTCTGCGCCATGTTGGCGGGGGCACCGCCAACGACTTTTTCAATCCATCGGAGATCTATCTGAACCCTGAGGACATGGGCAATAATAATTGGCAGCGTGCCTGCACATCCGCAGAAGGCAGGAAGACAAACTGAGAGGAGGGACGAAATATTTGATCCCGTGCCCCCACAACTATATATATATATATATATATATATATATAAATATACACACACTAGAAGCATCGCGCGCGCTTCGCGCGCGCGCTCAAACTCTAGCTAGGCTTGATGGGCTGATTCATGGGATCTAATGTTGGTCGTTTCTTGCATCCAGGGACCCTCTTGGAGGCCCTGCGCAAGCCTCGGAATCACTGCGGAAACCCAGAAATCATTAATTCCCGTTCGGTATTCAACGTTTTGGGGCCCTCAAAGACTTCCTGGGTTCTTTTGTGGTAGCTGAGGGGGCCTTAATTGTGGTCTGTTGTGCAAGAGTAGACAGGGGGGGGAACTTGGAAAAAAAGAACTGGGATTCCCTTTGTTTTCAAGCTGCCGTGCCTGGGCTGTGGGTTTGAAGTTTTCTGGATGCAGGCCACGGTATGTTTGGGTGCCTCTTGCGGTCTTCGTGCAAAAATCAGACATGAAGCCTTTTGTTTAACTCAGACAAAATCTAACAATCCTTTTTTTTCGACTCATGGGATCATGGGATCTCGAGTTCTACTGTGTTTTCAGGGGCAGCCAGGAGGACACGAAGACGATCCAAGAGAGTACCAAGACCGCGTTAGAGAGTTCAGCAGCATTCCCGAAAAATCTGTGCATGCGACCCCAGAGTCTTGATGGGGCTCGAGGACGAGGATAGGGAATAGGAGTCCCAACTTGAAAAAAAGGAATATCTGGAATTCATTTTTTGTTCAAGTTCCTCGGTCTTTGAAGTCTTTTGGAGGCTTTCTGGGAGTCTGGAGAGCCGACCGAAAGCTATCCTGGGTTGCTTGGGAGCGTCTTGGGCCTTTCTTTGAAGTTCTGGGAGCTTCTTGGGGTCGTCTTGGACTGTCCTGGGCGTTTTGGGGGCTCCCCGGGAGGTCGGGAAGCGCGGTACCGCGAGCGTTCCGCAGATGTTCCGGGAAGGTGTGGGACCCCCTGGAGGAAGGGGCACGCATTTGTTGAATTCGAAGAGAAAAAAAAGAGAAGAATCTCTGAAATTCCGTTGGAGGCATCTGGGGTGTCTGGGAGTTCTCTCGGAGGTCTCTGGCGACCTCCTGCTCCCGCTCTTGGGCTCATCTTGGGCCCGTTCTGGGGTGGTCTGGAGCTGTCAAGGGCGCCTCTTCGGCAATCTTGGGACCGTCTTGGTCCGTCTTGGGGCCGTCTTGGGGGCCTCTTGGGCGCTCTTGGGGGATGTAAGCGAGGTGGGGGACGCCCTGGGAGGGGGGCCCGGCGTGTGTGTTCATATCATATATACTTATGCTATACTATAATATAAATTACCATATGTCTACTTATACTATAGCCTATGGTATTAGTTTTAAGCTATATTATATGATACTGTATTGCATTAAGTTGCATTGTAATGTATTGAAGTGTGATATATTATATCAAGTCATATAATGTTGTAATATAATATGATGCAATATATTGTATTATACTATATTATGTTAAATAGATGGCATTATATTATACTATCGTATAGTCTATTATGTTATGTTATCCATTGTCCTATATTGTTACAAACCTGGGCGGGGGGAAAACCCGTCCCCCCCCAAAAAAAAAACAGGACTCCCGAGATCTGAGGCTTTGGCACCCTCCGGACGGGCCTCGAAGCGGCCCCCCGGGCCTCGCATGGCGTTTTGCCAAGCCTTCCCAGCACACCTAGGGCGATCAGGGGGGTCATCGGAGACGCCCCACAGACCCCCCGAGACAGCACAAGATCGCTCCAAGAGTGACCGACGTGACCTCAAAATGGCCCAAGAGGCCTCCAGGACGGCCCCAAAGAGGCCTCCAAGAGCACTCCCAAGAAGGCCCCAAGAGGCAAAACTCATTGATTGGTTTTTGGTGGATTTGGGGGTTCTCATCCTTTCGGCTTCCCGACGCTCCAAGACGGCGGTTTTCTGGGCGTCCGAAGCCGCCTGGGAGGCTCCAACATCGCCCCACAACCATCGGAAAGGGCTTTCAGGCAGTCCAAGAGAGCCCCAAAACGGCACAACACGGGTCCAAGATGGCCCTCAGAGAGCCCCATGGCGGCCCAAGATGGCCCCAAGACACCCTCCGAAGCATTCCAAGTCGTGACCTGGTTGTTCAGGGAGACCGCGGTTGGAGGCAGGGTGGCCCGACGAAGCCCCCAGAGGCCTCCAGAATACGCCCAGGAAGCCTCCAGAATGCTTTAAGAACGCTTGAAACAATTTTCGTGAGGCCCCCAGAGGCTCTCCAAGGAGGAGCCTCCTCAGAAAAGAGCTGAGAAGGATAAGGAGAATGCGCAGGGTGTGGCGAAAATGAAGAAAAGAAGCATAGAGGAAGGATAACGAAGAACATGATCATAGCGGCGATGCCACAAAAGGCAACAAGGAGTCATCGCTAAATTGTCGGCTTGACGTTCCTGCGATCCCGACTGCATACCAAATCTCAAGGACCATGGTTCATGGCGCGAAGCACCACTGCAGTCTTGTATTATATTATAATATATTATACTATAGTATGATATAGTATAGTATATGATATTACATAATACTATAGTATATGTCGTCATGTTATGATGCATCATGTTTATATCATATTGCATTATATTATGTATTAGAACATGTTATTGCAATATACTAGATTGTGTTATATGCTGTTGTATTATATTAAATTACATTATATTTCAATACATGCCACTATATTACATTACGCTGTGTTGTATTATATTATATGATATGACATGTCGTTATGCTGTATCATGGTATAGCAAAGTATATCATCTATGATAGATATATACCAAAGCCATCGTGCGCCCTTCGCGCGCGCTCAAGCTTTAGCTGGGCTTGATGGGCTAACCCGTGGAATATCATGTTGGTCGTTTCTTGCATCCAGGGACCCTCTTGGAGGCCCTGCGCAAGCCTCGGAATCGTGTACAAGGGGAACTGGGAAACGCAGAAATCATTCATTCCCGTTCGGTACTCAACGATTTGGGGCCCTCAAAAACTTCCTGGGATCTTTTCTGGGAGCTGAGGCGGGCCTGAATTATAATCTCTTATGCAAGTGTAGACAGGGGGGGCGAACTTGAAAAAAAAGGCACGGTGGGACTCCCTTTTTTGTTCAAGTTCCCGTGCCTGGGCTGTGGGTTCAACTCTACGGTTGTTTCAAGGGTAGCCAAGAGGACACGAAGACGTCTTTGAGGTCTATTGGAGGCGTTCTGGCAGCCTGGAAAGCCGACCGAAGGCTATCTTGGGTTGCTTGGGAGCGCTTTGGGCAATTCTTTTACGTTCTGGAAGCTTCCTGGGGTCGTCTTGGGCTGTCCTTGGGCGTTTTGGGGGAACGCGCGGTACCAAGAGCGTTCCGCAGATGTTCTGGGAAGGTGTGGGACCCCCGGGAAGGGGGGGTAGTATTTGTTGGGGATCTGTGGACTTCCCTTGTTTGTCTCAAGTTCCTCGGTCTTTGAGCATCGGAAGCGGGAGAACGTGAGAAGGCGAAAAACGTAGAAAAAAAACCATCTGAAATCAACGATGTTACCCTTTTCGGGCACTCTCAGGACGGCTCTCGAAGCTCTCTTGGACTGTTTCTGGGGCCTTGTCGGGGCTTCTTTGGGGCCTCTCAAGGGTCTGGGGTGTGTTGGGGGCCTCTGGGAGGTCCCGGAGTCCTCTCGCTTGGGCCCATCTTGGGCCTGTTCTGGGGTGGTCTGGAGCTGTCTGGGGCGCCTCTTCGGCAGTTTTGGGGCCTTCCTGGCCCGTCCCAGCCCGTCTTGGGGACCTCTTGGGCGGTCTTGGGGCGGTCTTGGGGGACCTCTTCGAATGAAAATTAACGGTTTTAGGTTCTCCTGGCGCTATCGGGATGCCTCTCGGAGCCCTCTTGAGGTCTCTTGGAGGCCTCCTGGGAGCCGGGAGAGCCGCCCGAAAGCTATCTTGGGTTGCTTGGAAACGTCTTCGGCAAGTCTCTTACATTCTGGGGGCGGGTCGTCTGAGGCTGTATTTAGGCGTTTTGGGGGGTCCCCGGGAGGCCGGGAAGCGCTGTGCCGGGAGCGTCATCCAAATGTGATCGAAGTGGAGAACGCCCCGGGAGGGGCCCGGCCTG